AGGTAGAATTGTAATTTTGATTATATTAGCTCAGTCTACCTATGAACAATTAATATTTTTCCAATTATTTAGATCTAACTTTATTTGTGTGAAGTGTTTTGTAATTGTGTTCATATAGTTCCTGGGTTTGTTTTAGCAGGTAGACTCCTAAATATTTTATAATGTCTACAGTAACTTTAAATGGAATTTCTCTTTCTATTTCTTGCTGTTGGGATTTGTCAGTAATATAAAGAAATGCCCATGATTTATGTGGGTTCATTCATTCATTCTTTCAGTCATTCAATTCTCTTTCATCCTATTCTCTTCCATGATTTAGTAGAAAGAGTATTGGCCATGAAATGAGATGACCAGGGACCCTGCCTTTATGCTTATTCTATCTCTGCAACCTTGAGAAAGTCACTTAACCTCCATGGGCCTCAGTTTCCCTATCTAGAAAAGGAGTGGATGAGACCAGGAAGCCCTTAAGGCCCCTTCCAGCTCTAGGTTTAAAATCCTATGAATTATTAAATAAAAGTCAAGGGCCACCATCTGGGATCTAAACCTGGAGTCACCACTGAGATATGCCATGAATGGATATACTTCCCTGGTCTAGGGATTGGTTCCTTGAATTGAATGCCAGGATTCTCATCATCTTAATCTATATCGGTTCATGGCTGGCTGTAGGCCTAAAAATGCATACTTTTTTTAAGCAATGAAATTAGACTGTATTTTTGGACAGCTCTTGTGTTACTTCTTAAAATTCGTACTTTTGAAGAGCCAGCAGACTGTACTTTATGATTGTGAAAATTCGTGCATCCCCCAGAAATACGGCTTTCTGTTCATGTGGCCCATTACTGAAAAAACTCAGATGGCTTTGACTTAGATATTAGGAAATGAATTCTGCATGGCATTCAAGGCCTCATTCCCCCTCTCTGACTTCTGTCCTTCCCTTTACACACATTATATTTATTCCTGTCTGTATTTCTTTGTTCCCCCTACTCCCCCAGCTTTCAATGCTCTCTTAAAAAAAAAAAACTCTTATTCTGAATATAACAAACATCATCATTTTCACATACAAAGAATAAAAAAAGAGAATTATATGTGAAACCACAAATTTCCATTATCTACAGCCTAGCTTTTTTTAAAATTCTATAAGAAATTTAGCACATTCATTCCAAAGCTTCCTGCTTGTCTGTATTTCCTGCTGAACCTCCTTCTGTTCTGTTCTGTGCCTTTTAAGAAATGCTTCACTGATTCTTTACTTTCTGTTATGCTCTTTTTTGGCATTCCTATTGCTGGCCCCACCCTCCCAGTTGTCCTCCACTAGAAAAATCTATCCTTGTAACCAACAAGCAAAATCAAGCAGAAACAAAAAGTCTGTCTCATTCTGCACCTCTAGTCTCTCACTTCTGAGTTGCGAGGTGGGCAGTATACTTCACTATCCGTCTGCTGCTGTTATGTTTGGTCATTACTTTAATCAGAGTTCTTAAGTTTTCAGTGTTGTTTTTCTTTACAACATTATAGTCACTGTATAAATGGTTCTCCTGGTTCTGCTCACTTCCCTCTGCATCAGTTTATATGTTATTCCGAATCTTTTCTGAATCCGTCCTTTTCATCTATTTCTCACAGTGAAATACAATTCCATTATATTCATATAACATGATTTATTCAACCATTCTCCAATTGATGGACACCCTCTAATTTCCTCGAACTAGTGTCCAGTTCTTTGCTATAACAAAAAGCACCGCTATAAATAAATTGCATGCTGTCTTGAGGAGGAGGGAGGAGAGGGAGGGGGAGAAAATTTAGAACTCAAAATCTTGTGGAAGTGAATGTTGAAAACTAAAAATAAATAAATGAATGAATAAATAGTTTTTAAAAGAATTTTATCAGAGAAACCTGACAGAAAGCATTTTTAAACCAGTTAACTCTTTCTCTTCTAATTTTAGCTACGTCGATTTTGTTTCTGCAAAAGCTTTTCAATTTTATATAATTAAAATTGTTTGTCTTCTATGAACTTCTCGATCTTTTGTTTGGTCAGGAACATAGTTGTGAAAGCTATCTCCTTCCCTCTCCTCTTATTTGCTTATGGTATTACTATTTATATCTAGGTCATGTATCTATTGGGAACTTGTTGTGGTATATGGTATGAGATTTTAGTCTAAATCTAATTTCCGCCAGACTGCTTATGAGCTTTCACAGTAGTTTTTAATGGATGAAGCAATTGAAGGAGAAATCAAACAATCAATATTTTTAAGGTATCTATTATGTGCCAGACACTGGGAGATATAAATACAGGATTTTAAAAGACTTTGAGCTGAAGGAGCTTACATTTTACTGGGGGGAGGATACAATATATACGCGTACATTTATATACAAAATAGTTGTACAAGTAATAATAATTGGTGGCATGGATGGAACTAACAGCCAAGGTTAGGAGAATGAGGAAAGGTTTCATTTAGAAGATGGCTTCTGAACTGAGCTTAGAAGGAAACCAGGGATTCTAAGGTGAGGAGGGAGGGCATTCCAGACATAGGGGACTGCCAGTCCAAGGCTCAGAGATGGAGTGTTGTGGGTGAGGAATAAGATCACTTTGTCTGCAGAGTATAGAGTGCATGGAGATAGGTAATGTATAATCAACCTGGAAAGGTAGATTGGGACCAGGTTGGGAAAGATGTTACATGTCAAGCAGAGAAATTTATATCTGATCCTAGAAGCAATAGGGAGTTATTGGCAAGTATTGAGTAGGGAAGTGGCATGGTCGGACCTGCACTTCAGGAAAGTATTGGTAAATGTGTGGAGGTTATATTGGAGTAGGGAGAAATTTGGAGCAGAGAGGCCAGTTAGAAGGCCATTGCAATAGTCCAGGTGAGAGGTAGTGAGAATCTGAACTGAGGTAGCAGTTGAGAAGGAGGTAGATTTGAGAAGTGTCAAAGATGTAGAAACAACAAAGTTTGACAGTTGATTAGGGCAAGGATGGTGGGGCCCTCAACAGACATAGGGAAACTCAGCAGAGAAATAGGTTAAGAGGGTTAGCTGATGAGTTATATTTTAGATATGTTTGAGATGCCTATGGGATATCCAGTTTGAAATGTGACAAGATGCTCAGGAGAGAGTCTGGGGTTGGGTATGTAGATCTAGGAAGCAAATGTTAATGTGTTTGATCCTGGGTACAGAGGAGATCACAATTAGATAATATCTGGGACTTCTTGTGTATCTTGAACAGTTGCAGAAAATCCTTGGTGCTGGCACTATCCTTTCAAGAATGCAACTCGTCTATATCTGGAGGGCAGATGCCAGAGAAGATAGTCAACTATGGGCACTCTATTCCTATTGATAAATGAAAGACTACCCAAGGGGAGAAGACTTGGATGTGGAGGGATTGGAAATAATGCCTTAAGAGAAGGTTGAAGGAATTGGTTATGAATCTGGTCTGAAGAAGAGAAGGCTAGGGGAGAGTTCATGGAAACATTTGCTGTTTAGGCCTAGAGGCCAGAGCAAAGAACAGTGGGTGGAAACTGCCAGCATTGACTTGACACGAGGAAAAACCCACAAGAATGAGAACCACCCCAAAGTGGAGTAGGCTTCCTCCAGGGGGTGGGGCTCCTTCACTGGATCCGTTCAAGCAAAGGATGAGTTTGGGGATATCTTGTGGGTGTTCTCGGTGGTTCCCTTCCTATCTGAGACTGGCAGCTTTGTAGACACTCATCCCTTATCTTGGTTTCCTTAGCAATGCCTCCCCCAAAAGGAGAAAAAGCATTGGCTGTAGGGTCAGAGGAGCTGGGTCCAAATCTTACCTCTGATGCCTGTTATGATCTGGGTCACCTTGCTTGACTGACTAAAGTGTCCTCAGCCTCAGTTTCTTTATCCATAAATTGAGAGGCTGGGGTTAGATGGCCTTTGAGGTCCCAAATCCTATGAATTCTGGGGCCACTGCCAGCAGGTGTGATCAGACCCCTCCAGCCAAAACACAGGAATTTTTCTGGTTTGGGGACATCTAGGTGTCACCTCTTTTATTCTTTCTGTACCAGAAAATGTGGGACAGTAGAAAACCCTTAATACCACACACGTAGGGAAAGGGAATAAAATGAGCTTGGATTTTATCCTGGGTGTCAGGTGTCTGTGGTCCTAAGAACCAGAGAAGTCCCAAAGGGTGTACAAAGGTAGCTAGTTCCTCTATCCCATCATCCTGTGGGGCCCGAGTCCATCTGTCGACCATCATTTATTAAGCACCTACTGTGTTCCAGGTGCCATGCTAAGCATTGGGTATAGGAAGAAAGTAAAATTAGTCCCTGCCCTTGGTCGAATGGGGGAGACAGCATGAGTACAACTCGTTCAAATGAGATAACGATGGGATGATTTAGTGATCTCAGAGGGAAGGCAGAGTTTCGCTCTTTCTTCCCATTCCCAACTTGCCCATCAGTGCAATCAGGTGAAGAAGACTTTCTTCTCACTAGAATCGACTCAGCTGTGCTCAGACCCGCTGTCAGAACCCCAGCGTGTGTCCACGGGCTCAAGGGCAGGAACCGAAACAGGGCCAAGAGGGGGAAAGAGAAAAACAGGGGGCCAAGAGTGAGGGTAGGGCTGAAGACTCAGACAGGTAGGTGGTTTTTTTTCTTTTAAGTTTTATTGATGCTATTGGTTCTCTACACTAGTTATCTCCTGATATCCCCTCCCCACCCCCACATTTAATCCTCCCTTGTAACAATAATAACACATATACAGAGTTAAGCAAAACCAATTGACAAAAAATGACCATATCCAACACTGTAGGATCCTGCTCCTGTGGTTCCTGATGGGACAAATGGACTCTACTCTCCTAAGCCGAGGTTGATGATTACAATTACTCTGACCTTGGCTGTCTTCCTGTTCTTTCTCTATCTCCATCCAGAGAGGCTCAGTGACTAATGAGCTGGCCTGGGGAGCTCTGGGCAGGAAGCCCTAGAAACCGATGCCTGCAGGCTGCATATTGACTTTGAAAACCTTTTATTAACATTATCTATGTTCCATTGCATTTTTATTTATTTAGGGTTTTTTTTTTCAGGTTATCCAGTTTTATTTTAATTTTGTTCTGGCTTCACTCAGGAGTTTTGCAGGCTGCCAGCCACGTATAAGGCACCTCTGCTCTCGGGCAGCAACTCTAGTCACAGAGATGGTGAACAGACTTGGTAGAGGGAATTTCCTCACCCGGAAGTTCTCTATGCCAATGAAATCCCAACTGTCCATGCAACACCATCCCACTGGCAAAACAGAACAATGGCGAGGGCTTCCATTTCACCCGTGGGGACTTTTTTTTCATGAAACACGCATTAGAATCAGAGAAACCTCGGATAAATTTAAAGAGATTATAATGGAAGCCAACCGCAAGCACATAGGGTTGGTGCATCCTTGTTACACATCAAAAAATGGAGATTAACCCTGTCAACTGTGAGACCTATTTAGTCATGGAGGGAAAATGGAGAGAAAACAAGATTATAATATTTCAAATAATCTTGGCGTGACTCAAACATCCCAGGCCAAATCCCTATGCTTTTATCGCTGAGTGGTCACCGCTTTTTTTTAACGGCTTATTTTCAAAAGGATACAAAACAACAGTAAACTACCAATGAGTAGTAACATAAAGAAACTGCACTTGGGAGCAGCTGGTCAAATCATGTCCCAGTTTTTCTGTCGTCCTGGAAATACTGGGGGGGGGGTGCTGAATATTGCTTGGGAGAGCAGGGCTTGAGTGTCATGTTCTAGAGAGGAAAGGAGGGGGCCTTATCCCCGCTGGTAGAGGGCTGCAGAATCACAATAGGGCACCAGACACTTGGCAACAACATCTAACGTGTTTTGATTTCCATTTTTGTGATGTAAGTGTGAAGAAGTAGACACATAACCAAAAGCACAGAGTGGCGAGTGACCTCTGGGCAGGGTGCAGAATTGTATTTATATTTGAAGATCCAGGTTGGGGAGCAGGGTCCCTGTCTGTGAAAATAAACAGCACAGATTTGTCAGGAAGGAAGATCCATAGGAGGCCTGGCCTCTTGCCCTAAAGGGAAGGACCAGGGTCTTCAGAAGCAGATCATCAGGGATTCTGGGACCTCTGCGGGTGAAAGGTAAGGTTAGAAAGTCTGGTCTCCTTTATCCACCTTTGAGGCCAAGCCAGCCTTAGTTGCCTGACTTTGGGTAAGTCAAGTAACCTCTCCTGACCTCACTTTCCTTATCTGAGAAATAGGGATAATAATACATGCTATGCCTACCTGGCAAGGTTATCAGGCTCCAGTGAGTTAGTGTTTGTAAGGAATCTGTAAATTTTAAAAGTGAAGGCTATTATTTAAAAGATAAAGTCATCAATGTGCATTGGCTGCCAAAAACCTGATGGGACCCTGGATTGCATCAGCAAACATATAATGTCTACAGCTTCCAACAGTTCTTAATCCAGGGTCTATGAACTTTGTTTCAAAAAATATATATCTTGATAACCATATTTCAGTATAATTGGCTTCCTTTGTAATTCCACATAGCTTATTTTGTGCATTCGAAAACTATAATCTGAGAACGGATCTATAGGCCTTACCACATTGCCACTGGCGTCCATGACACAGAGGAGGTTTAGAACCCTTGGGAAAAGGAGGCAGTGGTCCCTTTCTCCTCTACCTTCATCAGACCACATCTGTTCACACATCTGGTGTTCAGTTCTGAGCACCACATTTTAGGAAGGACATTGACAAACTAGAGTGTGTCCTGAGGAGGGTGGCCAGGATTCTAAGGGGACTAGAAACCAAGCCAGGAGAAGATCAGTTGAAAAAGCCAGGCCTCTTTAGCCTGAAGACCTCCAGGGAGCATGATGGCTGAGAGGAGCCGTCATGGAAAAGGAGATTAGACCTGTTTTTCTTGGCCTCAGAGGGCAGAACAGGGACCACTGGGGATAAGCTATAGAGAGGCTGATTTTGGCTCAATGTAAGGGAAACCTTGCTAACCATTGGCGCTATCCAAGGGAGAACGGGTGGCCTTGTAAGGCTGTCAGTGAGAGACTTCTTACTGGAAGGCTCCAAGCAGAAGCTAGATGAGAACTTGTCAGACACGCTGAACAGTAGGGGTGAGGGAGGGGGGGAAATTCATTCATGCCCCAAGTAGGGGCAAGACCACCACAGGCACACAGGTCAGATGGATGACCCTTCAACACTAGAGGTCTTTGCTTTTCTGAATACCCTATACCTCTATACTCCTCCTTCTTTAGCCAGAATCAGATAGAAGAAACTGACAGGCAAAAGACTGGCATGTTTTTCTTGAAAGGGATCACAGAACCACAGACTTAGAGCTGGAAGGGTCCTTAGAGGAGATCTATTCCAACACCCTTATTTTACAAATGAGAAACTGAGGCCCAGAGTGGTTAAGGGACTTAGCCAGCTAGGTGGGACAAAGGATAGAGCACTGGACCCAGAATCAGGAAGGTTGGAAGGAGGTCTAGAGTCTGAAACTGTCCTCAGATATTTACCAATTGTAAACAATATTTACCAACCAACTGTGCAACCCTGGGCAAGTAACCTCTGTTTCCCTTAGTTTCTTTATCTCTAAAATGGGGATAATAATGGCACTTATGAACAAGCTGATTATGAACTTCAAATGAGTTAACATGTGAAGTGCTTGGCAAACTTTCATGTTAACAGTTAGCTGTTATTATTGTTGCCCAAACTCACATGAACAGTAAGGAGCAGAGTCAGGATTAGAACGTGTGTCCTCCGGATCTCAGATCACTGAGCCTTGGCACACGGACAATCAGAGGGGATGGGGAGGGGTCTACCTCTAAAGGAGGGCGCCTGGCGTCAGAAGATCTGTATACAAGATGTTTCAAGTAGCCCAGAATATTTTCTTCTCTAGCTCTGATCCATGTTCCAATCTCTCACTGGGCAGATGAAGGTTGACAGCTGTGGTTCTTTTTATAGGGGCCAAGTATTTTTTGTGACATGCTGAACACCAGGAGAGTGAGATTCACACATGCAGGCGCCCAATCACCCTACAGTCTTATACAGTAAGGACATTGGCAAAGACCCTCCCCCCCCAAGTCCAACACACACTCTTAGATCTGGTCACCTCGTGTGTGCCATGCCTGCACTCAGACAGACATGGGCAATGAGCGTTCAGAGTCACACACTTCTTTAAAGGGTATGCTCGAAAAATAGATATACCATTTACACTTCTTTCTCTGTGTGCCCAGGCCCTCTGGCAAAGTAGGGATTTTAGGCATTATTAACCCCATTTTGCAGTTGAGGAAAATGAGGCTCAGTGGGGTCAAGTGACTTGCTCAGGGGCACGTAGCTAGCAAGCATCAGTCCTGACTTGTGCTTTGAAATCATGGCTTCCCTCCTAGTTTTATTGTTTTGTCTTTATAACACAATAAGATACATGCACAACCTAACACCAATTATAAATCCACTTACATTTACGTACAGATAAACCTATGCAAAAACACAAAAACATAACCTGTGTACTCTCTATCTGTACCAGGTAGAAAATTGGCTTGATGGAGACCCAGAGCCCCACTAAGCAGCTGGGCTCCCTTAAGGCACAAGGCAGAATAACAACAAAGAAAAATAACTGGAGAACTGGGAGAGCCAGCAGGGCTGGCCCTTCCCACTTGGCCAGGCTGACCTCTGGGGTGTGATAGGGGGAACTGAGAAGGTCTCCCTGCTCAAAACAGCCCCCCTGCCTGCCTGCCACCTGTTGCAGGGCTGGAAATCCCACCCTTTGAGTCCCTCCTTGGTGAGGTAGGGCTTTGTCTCCAGCTCCAGCTTTCCTCTTTCCCACTCTTACCCCCATTAAAATGTAAGTAGGTTGGCCTGTAAAAATTATTCCATTTAGCCAAAGTTGTTTTTTGTTTTTAAACACAGATACTGGGGAAGTTTGGTGGAAAACTTCCCTTGGGGGCGGGGGGAAGGTGTTAGGAGAGGCAGGGAGTCCTTCATGTCCAGGGACTGGGAGGGGAGTGAATAAAACCGGGCAATAGGAGGATGCTAGACCCCTGAAAAGGAGGAGATCCGGGTGAACCAGGACATTAGGAAGCTACTGCTACTCTGGAGAGGAGGGTCCAGAAAGGAAAGAAACAAAAACCCACTTGGGTGACTTGTAAGGAAAGGGATACCTGTTTTTAATTTGTGGTAACCTGTAGAAGGCAAAATTATTCTGTATATGAAGTGACCTGGAAAGTTATGTGGAATTGTTCATTCCCATTTTAGGGCAGAAGGAATGATATTTACTAAACTAAGCAATTAGCTACCAGTAGTAAGGCAGAACACTCACCAACCACCATTCAATCAGTAGTCTTCCAGATTACTGGATAGTGAGCCTAGGAGAGTGACTGGCCCTATGGGCTCCATCCAGGGAGTAGAGATAGGTGAATCCCCGAACTGGGGAAGGGGTAGAGGGGAGTACCATGTTCATATGGCTTCAGGAAGGCACCAGGTATTGTGGCTTGGGGTTTCTGGTCTGATAAGGATAGTGAGCCCCACCGGGCTTGGGTAACTATAGGTAAGGATTAAGTTAGCAAGTATAGGTGCCACTCTGTCTGGACCAGGGTAGTTCCCTTTCATACACCTCTCTGATGACCTGAGCCTGGTATTATATTTCTGAATTTGTTTATTCTTTTTTTCCTAGTACATAAGCCCAAGAGAATGTACTCCTGTGGTCCAGAGGGGCTGAAGGCAGGTGATAGAACGGGAAAAGGGAGAATGACTGTTCATGGCAAAACGTGGCTGGGGCAGAGAAAGGGGAGTGGGTAATTGGGGCATGGTACAGTGGATCTCTGAACCCCCAAAGCTGGGCTGGCTCAGGAGCTATGGGTTGGGGTTTAATGATTAGAACAATTCCCAAAACAGTAAAATGGTAAAAGCCTTGGGTCAGAAAGCAAAAGTCTCCTAGACTAGTTCCATGAAGAGAAGCAAGGGCCCTGAGATATCAGATTGTTTAAGTGGGGCACAGTATTAAGCATACTGGCTCTGGAGTCCAAAGGTCCTGGGTTCTAATCCTGTCTCTGATGCTTATCACCTATGTGGCCTTGAGTTGTCACATAATCTCTCTGGATCTCAGTTTCCTTACCCTTAAGATGAGGGGGATTGACCCTTCTACTTGGAGAGCAGGGCCTCTTTTCACCAGTCCTATACCCCTAGTTCAGGTTGGTGAAGTCTATGGATCCCTTACCAGAGTCCGGTTTTGAAATGCATCAACTAAAATACATAGGATCACAAAAGAAACCACTTCTATTGAAATAGTGTATCAAAATATTCTTTAAAAGCTCGGGCTTTGGGTTAAGAACCCCTACTGTTCTGTGATACAGGCTGAAGGCCCAGGCTTCGATCCTTTAGACAATTTCCCCTTGTGCTCTGGGCTCATGGGGGTGAGGGGAAAAGCTTAGGTCTTTAAATATTTCCTCCAGACTCCCCAGAGTCACAGAGCCTCCTGAGAGCTTCTTAATCCAAGCCTTTAATGGTCCCAAGGCCTTCAGCAGCAATGTTGGGAGCTGGCCAGCTGGCCAGCTGGGACCTTTTCCATAATCTCAGCCCTTTCCTGGGGCCACAGAGCTGAGGTTACTATTTACTGAAGGTTCACCTACCTCGGTCTTTACTCCTATTGAGTTTGTGACTAGGAGCATGAGTCCTGAAGCCTGCTTGGCATTCCTTACTAAACTCGGGACTGGGTGTTCCAATTCCTCTGCTCTGTGTTACAGGAACACTTTTGTGGTTGTCCTATGCAAATTTATGCAAATTAAAAGTCATATTTCTCTGAACCCATAGCCTCATGGGCACTCCTAAATCAGAAGTGGATATAGAAAGTTCATTGGCCTGCCCCTATACTGATATGTGAGAGCAAGATGGGGCTTGAAGAGGCAGACAAGTCTGCTGTCAGATAAATAATCATTTCCCCCACATCCCTGGTGGCCCCCCTCCTGCTTCCCGGTGAACCTCCTTGGCATGAAACCTCTCTTCCAGCCCTGGGTTTAGCCTTACCCTTGGCACCTAGATGTTCTTGAGAAGTCTGGCTCCTGGTTTGACCTACTTCTGGTTGGCATTTTTGTTTGGATCTCAATATTGAAGCCCTCTTTCCCTTAACATGGAGGGGATTCCTTAAGACCCATGGTTCCTGGTGCCATTTATATAAAACAAAAGGTAGGGGAACCCCCTGAACTCAGATGGTGGTAAAGTCTTCTCCCACAGAGAAGATATACAATTAGGCAAGGAGGGGTCTACTCCCAGCTCAGTCTGGCCAGGAGACCATGAGGTATCCTGGTTAGGGTATTATTCATCTTATCCCCAAGAGATAGAGTAAGCTACCCCTCTGCAGCTTGATCTAGAGTAGGCCAGGCAGGTGCAGATAGCTTCAAGACTGGAGTTTCCTGTCCCTGGACTGTAAGGTCAACCTCGGGGCTGACAGAGTTTGGGCAGACTGAGCAGCATCTCAGGCTTCAGAGTTTGGGCCCCCACACTCACCTCCAGGAGAGATAAGTCATCCATCTCTTCCAGTGTCTAAAGGCAAAAAAAAAAGCAAGAGTCAAAAGCCCTAGCAGTTGATATGCTTCCAGAATCACTATAGGGGTATTGCCGAGGAAGATGACAAGATCAGCTGGAGCCATGGGACATGGTCGTACAGTGAGCTCAGGGCCCATTGCCTGGAAACTCCCAATTCAACATCATGAAATGCACTGATTCCTAAGCCTATACTTCCTTGACAGTGACTGGCACATAGTAAGCATTTAATAAATACTGATTGACTGAAGATTCACTGACTGACCTACTAGGGTCAAAAGACCTGAGCATATATATGTTCTAGTTCTGTCACTAACTATCTGTGTGACTTTGGGTAAGTTGTTTAACTTCCCTAGGACTCATTTTCCTCATCTGTAAAATTAGAAATGTAATCACAGTAAGGCATTCCCTATCAATTTCAGGGAATCATAAAGATCAGGTGAGATATTATATGAGAATTACTTGGAAAACCCTAACATTTGGTACAAATGTCAGCTAGTTTTATTGTACTATTATTATTAATTATGGGCGTGATTGGGGATCAGCACTTACACCCAAGGAGGACCTGAGCATCTATCCTTTCCTAGGCCTCCTACTTTAGCCAAAAGACACCTTGAGTGCTGGAGATGTTGACTCCTCAGACAGTGGCCCCTGTGTAGGGTACCAGCTGAAGACAACTTTGACCTTCCTCTCCTCCCCAAGTAGTGCTCCCTTCTCTCATCTTCCTTTCCTCTCCTTCCGCTGGCCCACTCAACTTCCCCTGCCTCCATGTCTGTCTGGGGCCAAGGCCTGAGGCCTTGAGAGGTAGCTGGTCCCTGGAATTAGGGAGGTCAGTGGGCTCAGCCACCACATCAGCCTGACTCTGCCTACATGCCCCTCCAGGCAGCACCCTGGCCCCTGCTTAGCTCAACATATTCCCTTTCCCTCCTTCTGGTCCTGCCCCCAGCATTGTAGATGCTAGATTTAGAGCTGGAAGGGTCTTTAAAGGCCATTATTTTATATATGAGAAAACTGAGGCTTGGAGAGATTAAGAGGTCACCTACAGTTATACAACTACTAAATGTCCAAGGCAGGATTTGAAGCCAGGTCTGGCACCCTATATACTACGCCACACTGTCTCCAGGGACACCCTCTAGCTTGGGTACGGCCTTAGAGCTACCATCCTGCCCCAGTCACCTTGGCCAGAGTCTCCCAGCTTCGACCCTTGGCCTTGGCTGTGACCATCGGCTCTCGTGTTTCCATAATCTCTTGGTCCATCCTGCAGGACCCGTCTTGGTTCTTCAAGGTCAGGCTTGCAGCACCTGCCTCCATGTTGTTCCAGCCCTGCAAGGAACTCATGAGGAGAAAAGTCATCACTCTGGGCTATCTACTTGGGTTCTGAGCCACTCTATTTCTTTGATGGAGGAAGGAAATGTGTCCCCTTGAAGAGCAGAAAGGAAACCTCTCCTTTCCTCTGGGCCCAACCCTTCTTTCACTTGGCTACAATATCTTCTAATGTGATCCTCTAAACCTAAGCCCTGCTCTCCTCTCTCCATGCTGCTCCCTAAAATATTCACCAGGTTTTCCTGGAAAGATTTGAGAATTCAAATCCTAGGCCTTATGGTTTCAGAATCTGTTAGATAGGAATGTGTGTGTGTGTGTGTGTGTGTGTGTATATGTATGTATGCAAAACTCTGTGTATCTATACATTTATTATGTCTACATATGTCTGAATTTATTGAGTTTGCATAAGGGTAAGTCTGTGTGTGTACCTGTGTCTGTAAATCTGTAATATGGGTGAGTGTGCTCAACCTGGAGGAACTGGGACAGGAGGCAGGGAAGGGAGTTTGCTGTCTCAGAGGGGCCCAACACCTGCAAGTCCAATAATGTGGCTAGTGGGTCATTGCCTTAGCCTGTGACTAAAGCTGGTCAGAAGTGTTTTCTTGGATTGCTCACAATCACACAGTCCATGCCTAGGACCTTGGCCCAGTGGACAGACCGCAGGCCAGCGCTAGTATCACTCCTGATGCCGTCAGCTTCCTACCTGATGGCTTTTGGTGAGCCCGCACTGGGTGTAAGGTCTATCCAGCCAGGGCACCTGGAGGTAATACACACAACGCTGGGAGTACAGTCCCTACCTTCAAGAAGCTTATGCTCCATTGGGGAAGACTGAAAGGATAAATCCACATGAAAGAAATGTTCAGAGCAATTTATCAGCAAATGGTAACTAAGAGAGACTGAATTGAGGAAGGAAGGAAGTCTGAAGGATGCTGGGTGGATAAGACTTGAATGCAGGCGATTTGTGGCTGCATCTTGTTCCCTCCTTTTAAAAGGCAGAGATGGGTCAGTGTCTTTCCCTGAATGTCACCTGTTTCTGAACCCAGAAACTCCAAGTTTACCTGCTTGTTGATCCTTGCAAGCTTAGTGCTTTTTCTGCTATCAATTAGCTGTATGACCATGGCCAAATCTCTCTCCTCTGGGCCTCAGTTTCCTTTTCTGTGAAATTATGGGGCTCGACTAGATGATCTTTCACATTCTATGATTCAATGGGCTAGTCCAGAGGCCACATGGTACAGTGGGAAGAGTACTTGACCAGGGGTCAGAGGACCCAGGTTCTGGTTCTGACCTTGCTGTGTAATTTTGGACAGGTCAGTTCATTTCTCTGGCCTTCCTCCCTTCATCTGTCAAATGGAGGAGATAATATCTGCCCGACTGCCTATGAATACTGAAGAAAGAATTCTGAGAGAGTCTCTATGCAATTTAAATTGAGTTAATGTGGATAAAAATACCTTGGAGAGGATAAGCTGCTAATACACATACAAAGTGGCATTTTTCCTATTGTAGGAATACAATATATATTGAATGTAGCAGCATTCAATTGGGTACCAATCACGTGCCCCAAAATGGCCCTAGGAGGCCTGGAGCCCAACCTGTACCTGAGCAGGTGTCTTCTGTACAACATCTCCAACAAGTGATGGCCTAGTCTTTGCATGAACCTCTCAGGGATAGGGAACTCATTACCCACTTTTTGATAGCTTTCATTAAGAACTTTTCCTTCCACTGTGCCTCAACCAGTCTCTCTGTTAGTTTTATCAGTTACTCCTAGTTGCTTGGCCCTAGAAGACAGAAATCCAATCTCTCTTCTCTGGAATAGTCCTTCAAACACCTGAAGACAGTAGTCACATTCATTCTGCCTTTTCTTCTCTAAGTTAAACAGGCCTTATTCCTGAACCTGATTCTCACCTGGCAAGGTCTTGAGATATTTCACCCTCCTCAGGACGTTCTCCATCTTATGAATGTCCTTAATAAAATGGGGTACCAAGAACCAGACATGAGACTCCAGGTCTTTTCTGACCAGAGCAGAACATAGTAGGTCTTTCTGGACCTCATACAGTCTAAAAACATTTTTTAAAATGTCAAACATAGAGTTAGTTCCAAAGCTGATGTTGATAAAGGTCCCCAAAAACTTACCTAGGTCCCTGTTCTCGTGCTCCTGAGGATGATTAGGTTCTGGCCCATTTCTAGGTGTGGACTTGGAATGAGGTGTCAAGGAGGAAGGAGAAGGAGGAAGGACTCTTCTACCCTGAGAGTGCTCCAAGGGATTCAGCCCAATATGTACCCCTACCTCTTTAGTCTGGAGGAACAACTCGACTCAGGTCCCATAAATTTTCATATCCCAAAATCTAATCTAATATTCATATTCTAGCCCTGATCTTCCTCTTCCCCTTAACTTTTGCTTCTTCCTTACATGAACTCTAGGTGCCAAAGTTATCTCATCACTGTCTTGAATACCACCACATTCATTTCCATCCCACACCTTCTTTCTGATCCTGCTCCTCCCTGCCTATCCAAATTCTACATCCCCTTTAAGGCCCAGCTGAGATCTGGTCTCCTTCATGGGACCTATATGCTAACTATGATTTCCTCTTCTTAAGAACACATACAAGTACTGACTACCAGAATCATACAGTCTAATCATTGATAATCTGGCTTGTATTGCTGTTGTCTCATTGTTTTATCGGTGAGACTCAACTCCCCTACTGTTTATGAGCTTTTTGAAGTACATAGACTCTGCTTTCTCTTTATCCGATCTGTCCCACATCTGGCACAGGGCTTGGCACCCAGGGAGGCTAGACACATTGAGTGGCTCAGGTCATCTCTTGGGCAGACTTGGGGTCCTGAGTCACCCTGGGAAGTGAAGATCTCTGCATGAAGCGCCTTCTCTATGAGGACCTTGGAGAGCACCAGACCCCAGAGGCAGCATAGGGAGCTAGCCCAGGAAGCATCAGGAATACTTACGACTTCACTCTCAGAACCCAAGGATAGCTGGCGTCTACCTCGAGACTGCCAGCTGATGGCAGACACTTGGCTGGTCATGGTCGAGCGATGGGTGAAGCGGTAACTACTGAAGGATGGAGTGCGGGGGTGCCTTATACCAAGCAAGGCCTTAAGGCATGGAAAATTCTGGGCGATGGCCATTCTGGTGATGAAGAAACACAGCTGGTTACACTTTGTATCATCATGGACCTCCCTACCATGAAAGACACTAAAATGGTGAGAAAAAGATACCCCATTCTCCTTCTCCCCAGCCCTCTCTAGGACTGTGAAAGCATCATGGTGTACACAGAGTAGCAGAAAAGAGCCATGGTTCGGGGTTCAAATCCTGTCTTTGATACTTGCTACCCATATGACTATGGGAAAGTCACTTAAATTGTCTGGGCTTAATCTATAAAATGAGGGGCCTGGACTAAGTGATCTCTAAGGTCCTTTTTTGCTCTAAATCTTATGATATCTATGATCCTGAGATGCGGCCTCAGCAGAGGAGGGGAATCCAGATCCTCCTCTATAATATTACATCCCTTCCCAAGGTGAAAGCCGGGACCTCAGCAAATATCACAGAATGTTTGAGCTGAAAAGAACCTCAGAAACCCCTTAGGCCAACCCCCTCATTTTACAGATGAAGAAACTGAGGCCCAGACAGTTTAATAACATAATCACATAGCTAGTAAAGGCTGGTCTCAAACCCAGACTTGGTGCTCTTTCCACAGTACTGTAGAAGTATCCCTAGAAGGAAGGAATGGACCAATGTCAGGATAAAAAAAGATCCATATACCATGTTTTGACTATGCCACCTACATGGACGCATGATTTTCTAGACCCTGGATGGTTGAAGTTTCCCACCTACATGGACGCATGATTTTCTAGACCCTGGATGGTTGCCTTAAATAGTCATGATTCTGGGAGCATCTTGTTAGGACTGAGTCACAAATGGAGAGAAGGAATTCTTAGGCCTCCTTAGGGAAAAAAAGCATAATAAATGGATGGATTTTCCCAACTCACTATCTGCTACTTTGGTTGATTCAGCAAGCCTTGGCTTTGACATCCCCTGATAAATGGGGTCCACATCCCAGGGAGATAGTTGCAAATGCCATTAAAAAAAAAAAGTGGATGCAGAAAAATTGGCTTCTCCTTGTCAACACACCTAGGCCGCTCCTCCCTAAATATGCAGAGCTTTCATCTGTGCAGAATATTCCCTCTGCAGATGCTTATTCAGAGTGTCAGGGTCCTATGCCTCCTGACTACAAGGGTTCCACATCTTCTTCCATAAACATCCATGAGAGACTAGGGAAGGGCCCAGGAGATGCTAGCAAGGACATAGCTATTGCTGAGCCAGTGATAAAGACTGGCTAGCCCCGGGGTGCATTCTGTGCCTAGCACCTCTAATAGCTTACACTGTGGCCCTGCGCCTAAGACTTTCCTGAAGGACACACCAAGCAGGGCAAGATAGATATGTACAAGGAAAGCTGTCCGGGTAAACCAAACTTCCCGGTGGTTTGGGACTGGATCAGAGAGTCTATGGGGCTCTGAAAGGAAGGCATGAAGAATGTGTTAAGAACAAAGAATGACTTATAAGTGAGTGCTGGTAAGGAGGAGAGGGTGGAGAGCTGTTGGACTTACCTGTACTTGGGGTGGCTGATGGCATAAATGATGGGATTGTGGATGGCGGAGGCCTTGGCAATGATGGCTGGCACTGAGTTCATGTATGGAGTTAGGAGGTGGGAATACCTGGGTGGGGGAAACCAGAGCTAAGACTGATGTTGCTGGCAGAGGAATATCTTGTCTAACTCTCTCCCACCCCCCCATTCCCTGAGTTATGAGCCTATCAATTGCCTGCATAGATCCATTTATTCAGCTGTATCTGTCATGTCCAACTTATCCCCTCAAAACTCATCTGTCTGGTTTGTCTTACTGGAAGTGTAGGAGAGCCGGTGGTCCGAGAAAGTGGAAATGTGTCTGGGTTAGGGGGGTGGAAGGGGAGGTCATCAGCAAGGGAGGCTGGAGGAATGTCAGCACCAAATAGGCCCCTTTCCTCTGGTGACCATTAATGGTTTCTAATGCATACTCATCTGAAACCTAGGATTGTGCTAGAGGCCTTGGAATGACATGTAGTTCATACTCCTGCATTTAGAAAGGATTATACTTAGCTTCACCAAGCATATGAGACTGTCCTCTTTGTAAAACATTCTGGCCAGAAAAGTCCATTCCTGTCTTTGGTTACCCATTTCATTGATTAATAACCCTTACTATATGACTAGTGGGCAGGTAGGTGGTGCAGTAAACAGAGCTCTGAGCTTGGAATCAGGAAGACTCATCTTCCTCAGTTCAAATCTGGCCTTAGACACTTACTAGCTATGTAACTTTGGGCAAGTCACTTAACCCTGTTTACCTCAGTTTCCTCATCTGTAAAATGAGCTGGAGAAGGAAATGGCAAACTACTCTAGTATCTCTGTGAAGAAAACCTCAAATGGGGTCATGAAGAGTTGGACACGACTAAAAAAATTACTTAACAAAAATGTGAATAGTATCTATGCTGTGCAATTGCCCTCTTGCTACATGTTCTTAATTTCCTCTGACCATCCTCAGAAAAGACTCACAGTAGCAAGGGCCTAAGGAATAACAGCAATAACACTTTCCAACACTTGCAAAGGTCCAAGAATTCACTGGGGCAGGCACCCCTTCCACTGCCCAGTTGTTCCATACCTAAGTGCATGGTCTTCATGAATTGCTGTGGTCAGAAAAATCCATCACCTGGTGGCAATGAGTTTCTCAGTACTCAGCTAGTGTAGTCCTCAGCAAGATACTCGGTCTGTCATTAGGCCTATATGCAAAACTTTTCTGGATTAGTAGGAGCTGCCAGAAACAACTTGGGTTCTGCTGGCGTAGACTTTGGAAACTCAGGACTACCTCCATGCCAGGCAAGGCATTGGAGGAGGGCTTTTGTGGAGGAATAATGATAATTAGGATAATGGTGATGGTAGCAGTCTTCCTGGGGAATGTGCTGGCTCCCAGCTGAGCTAATAATTGCTAATAGCTACATTATTATATAATATTTACATATTTATTTTTGTATTATCATATTTACATAGTACATTAAAGTTTGCAAAGCACTCTATAAATATCTCATTTTATCATTACAGCAACTCTAGAAATAGATGCTGTTATTATCCCCATTTTCTAGTTGAGGAAACAGAGGCAAACAAAGGTGAAGTGACTTGCCCAGGGTCATACAGCTAGTAAGTATTAGAGGCTTGATTTGAATTCAGGTCTTCCTAACTCCATATCCAGTGCTCTATCCACCTAGCTGCCTCTAATCCAACCTCCAACAAAGGTGCTCATTCCATTGAGTTCTCTGCTCATTGCAAATGAGCCCAAATGCCCTGCTGCCTACTGGTGCCTAAAAAAAATGTAAAGGATATACAGACAATGGGGTATAGAAATCTATCCTGCCCTACAGGAAAATAGAAAGTGAAGGGGATAAAAGAAGGAGGGTGTGATAGAAGAGAGGGCAGATTAGGGGAAGGGGTATACATGCCATCTTGGGGTGGGGGTAGGGACAAGATGGGGAGAAAATTTGGAACTCAAAATCTTGTGGAAGTGGATGTTGAAAACTAAAAATAAATGAATTGATGAATGTTTAATATAAAAAAAGAGGTAAGGACCTGGGGAAGGAGACACAGCCCCACATTAGCTTCAGAATCCCAACCATAGACCTCAAAACTTTTTTTATGTCATAGAATCATAGATATAATAAAACTGGAAGGGACCTTGGAGCTCATCACATCCAACTCCCTCGTTCTACAGGTGAAAACATTGAAGCACAGAGAAGTTAATGCTTGCCCAAGGTCACACGGCCTATTATGTGTCAAAGGAGGGTTTTGAATACAGTCTTCCTAATACAAGGCTAGCATTCTATTCATTACACCAAGGTTAACATACTACAAACTCTCCCTGCTCAGTAAATTCATTTTCTAGAGGAGATAACACTGTGTACCAGGATAGTGGTAGAAAACATAGACTCTCATCATTTATTTGATCTATACCCTAGCATTTAGTGGGACAGGAAGGGCCCCATACTGAGTTAGAAGATTGCCCAACCCTTCCTGCTGAGACAACCTAAGCTCTCTGCAAAGGTGGCAAGGTTGACTCCAGGGGAATTTTCTGGCAAGATAATTACCCAGCAAAGGCCACGAGGGCCACTGTTGAATAGGGGGCCCAGGACAGCACAAAGAGCAGGATGACCACCAGGGCGATCTTTGCCATCCTCCACTCATTCTTCATCCTTTGACAATGCCTTGGGGATGCCGTGCTCTCACTAGATCCAATGTTTTGAATAGTCCTAGGGATATCAGCATGGGAACACAGTGCTTTATCTCAGAACCGTTCATGGGATTAGTACATCAGCCCAATGGCCATTGGTGGGCATAGTAGGGAGTGGGGAGGTAGGTAATGACGATAATGGTCAACTCTTTGTATGGAAAAAGAAAGTCATATTCATTAGAATGAAGACAGATGGCTCTGAGCATTGGGAAGATGGTAACCATCCCCAATAGCTACAAAATGGTTGGACTAATGCTCATCTGGTTTAATCAGTAAAGGTCAACTTCATCTGAGCAGCTTAAAACTCAACATAAACACCATCCCTCAGGTAGGCTTTTCATTTCTGGAGCACATCCATGTCTCCAGCTTTATTTGTCTTCACAACATCCCTATGAAATAAATAGAACTTGGATGGCTTTGTCAATTTTATACATGGAAAAACAGGACCAGAAAGGAGCAAAGAATCAATGAATCAATGAATGATAGCCTAGATCTCTGGCCTTCTTACTTATTACTAATAAGGTTATAGTATATAAAGTCAGCAGGGATGAGATTTTATATATATATATATATATAGAGAGAGAGAGAGAGAGAGATAGATAGATGTATATATATATATATAATTTTTCATCTTACATAAGAGGAAACAGAGGTCCAGAGAGGTTATGTAATTTGCTCAAAGTCACATAGGTGGGAAAGAACAGGTAGGGGCTTCAAAGTCATGTCCTTTGACTCCAATCCAGTGCCCTTGCCATGCGTCCTTCCTCCCACTTTCCCCAGCAGGTAGAAGGGAGGGGCTGCCCCAGGAAGCTCACTTGTTGGTGTCCCGAATGGCCCTAAAGATGAAGATGTAGCAGTAGATGATTACAATCAGGGGAATGAAAAAGACAAAACAGAAGAGCAGCATGGTGTAAGCCCGGACAGATGGGGTGAAGGTTGTGTAATCCCAGGAACAAGACGTGAGCAGCCCTTCAGGAACATAGGCACCTTGGAAGGGGAACCAAAGAAGAAATCATTTCAAAAACTCCATCTACCTCAAGAACAGGACAACCTGTAGTTGAGTCTTCCTCAAATAGCTCTTCCTCTGACTGCCCTTCTATCCTTATACTTCATTCACCTGCCTTCTTCTTGACTCATCCTCTTCCAAATGCCTTTCCAATTTCAAACAAAGCCACAGAAGTCATTCTCTTTAGCAGGGGCCTGCTCAGTGCACTAATCTTACCCACTGGCTACATATCTTTAAGGTTCATCAATAGGAAGCAATCCCAATGATGTGGACATTTTCCCAACATCTAGCTTAGCTGGCCTACCCTGCTGATCTTTTCTTGTTCCTCTTCTGCCAACCCTTCCTTTCTTGTCCCATAAGTATACACCATTGAGGAAGGAAAAAGTCAGGCAAACACACTCAACTCCATCCAAAGAAAGGTGGAAGGCTCCAAGCCAGAGAGTACAGCCAGACTCCAATGAGGATGAGTCCAGTCTTCTTTTTCGATATCACACCAATAGAGGCCAGAGGGCGGGTGATCACAAAGTACCGGTCCAGGGCAATCGCCATCAGCGTTATCATGGAGGTGATGCCAAAGAGAGCCCCACAGAAGGCATAAAATTCACATCCTACATGTAAATGCACAGAGAAAATCCATTCCCAATCAGTTAATCAATAACATTGATCACGCATCTATTATTACACAACCCTTGCTAGGCTGTAGGGGAGACAAGGGAAGCTCAAAGGATCACATATTTAGAGCTGGAAGAGATCTTTGGAGTCCACTGAGTCAAACTTTAGGTCAGCAATGGGGAAACTGAGGCCCAGAGAGGTTCATGACCTGCCCAAGGTCACACAAGTGGCAGGGGAAGAATTCAAACCCAGGCCCTTTGACTCCAAAGCCAATACTCTTTTCATGGTACTACTCTAATAACATGACTCCTGAATGCAAGAAACTTACAGTCTAGTTTAAAAAATAAACCACACTTAAGTGAAATAGCAACATCTCTTTTCACCACCCTCTGGCTCCCTTGTTTCTCCTCCATCACCCTCTCAGCCACTTTTCTTAGTGATAAAAATACCTCATGTTTGCTTCCACTTACTGTCTCATTTGAGCCTCACATACCCTGTGAGGTAGGAGGTGTGAGAGCAGGAGGGATAATTTCCATTTTACAGATGATGAAACTTGGGCTGCTTGGGAAGCTTCAGTCACTTGTTCAGGGTCATGTGGCTAGGAAGGTGTGGAGCAAAAGCCTGATCCTAGGCTTCTGGTTCCTATGCAGGTGCTCTTTCCCCTCCGCCATCCTGTCTCCTTATTGAACGCCTATCCTGGGCCCTGCCCTATATCAGATGTTGTGAAGGATCCAGGGCCTCAAACACCAGCCAGCAATGTGAACAATATAATTAGGGGTGTGTGTGTGTGTGTGTGTGTGTGTGTGTGTGTGTGTGTGTGTGTGTGTGTGAGAAAGGTTCCAAGTGCTGCAGAGACGTAGAACAAGAAGAGATTGATATGGGCTGGGGTAATCAGGAAGGGCTTCCTGAAGGAGGTGGTACTTGGTTTGGGCCCTGAAAGATAGGTAGGATTTGAACAGATGGGGAAAAAAGAAGGAAAGGGTTCTAGGAGGGGGATGATCCCAGAAGTAACCAGGAACATACTGTATTTGTGGAACAGTGGAGGGACTGGTTAGGTGGCAGAGTGAGGTAAGAACCTAGAGAAGACAGAATGGGGTAGGGGAAATAGCATTTATATGGAGTCAGAGAATTTGAGTTCAACTCACATAAGAGGTTAAGTGACCTTGGGCCATTTAACCTCCCTAGGCCTCAGTTTCCTGATACATAAAATGAGAGAGGTGTTCCCTTCCATCTCTAATTCTAGGGTCCTGTGACCTCTCTGGGACTCAGTTTCCTCCTCTGGAAAATGAGAGGGTTGAACTAGATTGTTTCTGATGGCCCTTCTGGTCTCAGATCTGTGATCCCACGATGCTGTGAGGGCTGGGGGAATGAGTTGGAGGAGTCTGGAAGTGATGCCATCAGCAGTAGGGTTGTACATCTAGGAATGGAGGACAAGACCCAAATGATTCTCAGGTTGCTCTGTTTTCCTTCCATAATGTGTACACAACAATACCCCCCACTCCACAGATGCCTAATGGTGCTAATCAGCACTTGTACTTGACTCAGTGAGGCAAAGGAAGAGTGAAAAGCCCGCCTTACCTTTCTCTCCAAAGATCCAGCGTTTGTGTAGGCTGCTGGCGAAAAACACTGGGGCTTGGGTGAAGGACATGAAGAAGTCGCTGATGGCAAGGTTGATGATGAACATGTTAGCCGGCGTGCGAAGGCTGCGACTCCTGCAGAGGCCAGGTTATTGAAAAGCAGATTACTGGAGGCCTTTGTGGAGAACTGGCCTTTCACCTCTCCTTAGACAAAGATTCTTCACCTTTTCTTGGGTCAGGAACCCCTCTGTCTGGTGAAGCCTGTGGACCTCTTCTCAGAGTAACATTTTTTTTTTGTCTTTTTGGTGAGGCAATTGGGGTTAAGTGACTTGCCCAGGGTCACACAGCTAGTAAGTGTCTGAGGCCGGATTTGAACTCAGTTCCTGCTGACTCCAAGGCCGGAGCTCTACTCACTGCACCACCTAGCTGCCCCCAGAATGACATTTTTTAAATGCATAACATAAAACACACTGGATTTACCCAAAAAAAAAAAAAGATGATACTGGAATATAATTTTTTTTAAATAAAAATATTTTTTAAAACCCAAGTTAGTGGACCCTAGGTTAATGTATCCCCCAGTGGAAGGAGTCAAGGAAACTCACTATTCAAGGTGTATTTATCATTTTATTAAGGTTACCTAGGGAAGTAGAGGCAGCTGGCTGGTGAAGTAGATAGAGAGTTGGATCTGGACACATATTTTAGATGTGTGACCTTAGGCAAGTCACTTAAACTTGATCTACCTCAGTTTCCTCATCTGTAAAATGGGGGTAAAAACACAATACCTGTCTCAAAGGATTGTTGTGAGGATTGAATGAGATCCTATATGTAAGCCTTTAAGTACTATGTTAATACTAATTATTATTGTTACTCTTATTGTTACTAAGTGTGGAGACCTTTCTACCCAAGGATAGCCAGTGACCCACTAACTACCTATCACCCTCCTGGAAAGATGAAAGAGATTCCCTGGAAGAATCACAATAGCTAGTAAAGTCAATGTCCTAGGATGGAAATATGGGGATTTCTGATCAGCTCTTCCTAAATAACACCAGTTGAGCCGATCTTTGAGTTAGGCTCTATTTACATTAATAACAGAACATAAGCTTGTTGAGGGCAGGGACTGTTTCATTCCTATCTTTGTATCCCCAGCACCTGGCCCATAATGGATGATTAGTAAATGCTTGCTGATTGATTAAGATAAGAAACCTGTATTCTTGGAAACAAAGTAGCTGCCCATAAATTGGGGAATGGCTAAACAAATTGTGATATGTGAACCTAACGGGATTTGATTGCGTTGGAAGAAACAACGACTGCGCTGAATACAGAGTAGCATAGGAAGACCCATATAAACTGATGCAAAGGGAAGCGTGCAGAACTAGGAAAATAACATGCACAATGACTGCAAAAATATAAGAGGAGAGTAGGAGAACAGCAGAACAGCAAAACTGAATGCTGTGAAATTATAATGACCCAGCTTGGCCTCAAAAATGAGACGTGAGATAACTCCTTCTCTACTTCTTTACAGAGGAGGGAGACCATGGGTGTGGAACACTGCACATGTCAGACTTTTTTGGTATATTGGTTAGTCTTAGTGAACTTTATTTTTCTTCCTTATTATAAGAGACAGCTCTCTGGGCACAGTGTCTGGCACATAGTAAGTGCTTAATAAATGATTATTGATTGATTGCTTGGTTGGGCAGGGGTCAGAGGAGGACTACAGTGGGAAATGTAGGTAAAGTAAAAAACAAATGATAGCAATAAAAACTTATTTTCAAAAAGAGAAGTGTGTTCTGTAAACTTGTCTATTTCCATGTTTTCTGGTTTGATTTTTTTCCTCCCTTAGGTTTCTTGGTAAAAATTTCTTTTGAAAAATTTCAGCTTTGTGGGAGCAGTAAGGTGACACAGTGGATAGAGTACTAGCCCTGGATTCAGGAGAACCTGAGTTCAAATCTGGCCTCAGACACATAACACTTACTAGCTGTGTGACCCTGGGTGAGTCACTTAACCCAATTGACTAGCAAAAAAAAAAAAAGAAAGAAAAATTTCAACCTTGAGTTGGTAAGATGGGATAGCAGGTGCTGCTTCTGGATATGGGAGAACGTTCCCTCTGCTGTTCTCCCTGCTATGGGGTCACCAGATTTGGGGAGCAGTTCATTTCACTGCCCTTTCTGCCAGGGTACCTGGCAGGACCAGATGTTCAAAAGGGTGCTATTGATTGTACCAGTGACTTAGGGGCAGAGAGTTTATATTTTTAATGTACTCACATATGTTCATGTTGTCTCTCCCAGCAGAATGTTCCAGGTCTACTAAGGAGCCAACCACTCTGCTAGGTACTGGACATTCAAAGAAAAAAATTGAAGTTCCTGCCCTCAACAAGCTTACGTTCTATAGGAAGAGACACCAGATACAACATCGACTCATATAAGTCTATGTAAAATCAACGCATAGCATTTACAACTCAACAGACGCACTAGTGGGCAGAGCATTGACTCAGCACCTCCTCTTTCATGCTGGAAGGCATGGCCAGAGTGGAGCAAAGCTTCTGAGTGGTTTCAGGGGCCATAGGAGGAGATTGACAGGGTTGGGGCTTAGCCCTCTATAAACTATCTTGACTGTCTATCCTCCCCTGGCTGCTCAGCAAGGGCTTGCAATGATTTCCCTCCCCATTTCTGAGGGACAGCAGGAGGAGATATGAGACTTCCTTAGGAAGTACCAAGCCAGTGATTTCTCAGATCTTTGGGGAGATTGGGAGGAGCTGTCCTTGACTGGGCAGTGCCTTTGATGGAGGAAGGAATAACAATGGTGAGCATGACAATAGCTAGTGTTTTAAGATTTGCAGATCACTTTTATGTATTTTCTTATTTGATTCTCCCAATAATTCTGGGAAGCAGGTGCTATTGTGATCCCTATTTTCAGATGATAAGAAGGGTGCAAGGGAGCATCTGGGTGGCATAGTGCATAGAGTATTGGACTTGGGTTTGGGGAGACCTAAGCTCAAAGGCTACCTCAGACACTTGCTAGCTGTGTGACTCTAGGCAAGTCACTACCTTTTTCAGCCTAAATTTCCTCATCTGTAAAATGGTGATGATATGATACCACCTACTTCCCAAGGTTATTGTGAGGATCAAATGAGAAAACATATGCAAAGTCCCTTGCAAACCTTAAAGTCTTATTTAAATGCTATTACAGATGAGGAAACTGAGGCACATAGAGTTTAAGTGACTTGCATGGGGTCTCATACCTGGTAAGGATCAAGAAAGAGGAGTTAAACCTGAAGTCCCCTAGACTCGAGGTCCAGTCCTCTATTTACTCTGATACTTAGCTGCCTGGGGGGACCTCAGAGGGGAGAATGATGCTTCAGTCAGCCATGGACATAATACCAGCGCTGCCATTACAGTGTTAGGCATGAGCAGGCTAAGAAATTAGTGGTGGTAGACAGAAAGGAATCCTGCCAACTAGCAAGAAGAGGTGGTAATGGAAATGTTTAAGCCAGGCTTGACTAATGAACTTCAAGGTCCCACTCCAGATAAGCTGGCAGGACTGATGGGCATCCTCACCAAGCTCACTGATACACTGGCACGTGAAAAGAGGGGGTGGGCATGGCACCAACAGGAGTATTGATGGATAGATAAGAGAGACCTTGCTGTGTCTGGGAGCCGGATGGCCATGGTAGGCATCGTTGGTATCTTATTCAGGTGCGTCAATCAATCAACAAGTATTTACTAGGTGATTATCATATGCCACGCACTAAACTAAGCACTGAGGATGCAAAGACAAACACAAAACAGTCCCTGCCCTCAAGGAGCTTCCATTCCATCAGAGGAGACAACATGAATACAAAGGTTGTTGTTCAGTCATTTTTCAGTCATGTCCAACTCAGTGACTCTATTTGGGGTTTTCTTGGCAAAGATCCTGGAGTGGTTTGCCATTTCCTTCTCTGGCTCATTTTACAGATGAGGAAACTGAGGTAAACAGGGTTAAGTGACTTGCCCAGGGTCACACAGCTAAGGAAATGTCTGAGGCCAGATTTTAACTTATGAACATGAGTCTTCCTGACTCCAGGCTTGGTGCTACCATCCACTGGGCCCCAAGCTGAGAGGCAGTGGCTCTATAAATTTATTGAGTAGGGAACTCCTGAATGAGAAAAATCCCTCTACTAATGCAGATCAGCATTTTCTCTGCAACTTATTATCAGACAGTTGCCTAGAGCACAGAGAGGTTGAGTGCTTTGCCCAGGGTCACACAGTCAGTATGTGTCAAGGTCGATTTGAACCAAGTCAATACCATGGAAATAAATTCTGCCAGCTGGAAAGAAGAGGTTCTAAAAGAAATTTTAAAGAAAAAAATTGCCCTATGATTCCGTTCTCCACGCCCATGACTTCTCTGTAACAGATACCATTTCCTGGTCACCCTTCCCCTCTATTTGTTTCCCCTATTAGAATGTAAATTCCTTGAGGCCAGGGACCGTTTTACTTGCTTATATTTGTAACCCCAGCATTTAGCACTGTACCTGGCACATAGGAAGTGCTTAATTATTGCTTTTTTTTCATCAATTTTTTTCATCTTCAAGTCCAGCTCTCAATTCATTATACAATGGTGTTTCTTAAAGGGAGTTTCTTTGCTGGGTCAAGATAGAAGAGATGAGAGCATGCTAGACATTCCTGCCTCTAGAGATGGTTTCAGAAGTAGGGCACAAAGAAAACATGAAGAAGGAGAGAAATGAGGACAGCACAGGGCATGAATGCCTCCTTCTCTCCTCATAGACTCTCTCTGGGCCAGTGTTCACACAAGGACACATGAAAGGCAGTGAGTAAATACTTTTTGCTTAGTTGATTGGTTAATGAGGAGGGCGGTGCTTGACTGGCAATGGCAGAGAGAAGGCTAGTAAGAACTCACAAATACCTTGAATTCTACTTCAGCCAGTTTTGGTCCACGGTTGGACCCTTGACTGGTTTGGGATTTTGAAGGCTTGCTCCGTGACAGATAAATTCCCTGTGCCTTATGTCCAAATGACCAAGAAATCAAAGGTGATTTGTCCTATGGATTGCTTGGATCTGGGTCAGGTGTATCTGAGGGACTTTTTCCACCCCATGTAGGATAATTTAGAGGGCTAGTTTTCTGTCACTTTACTCATAGTC